ATACAACCAAACACTCTTAAGTGTGAAAGGTTTATTTCTTTCTTGCTCCAAACTTCCTCTGGTATTCTGCCATCCAAAGGAACTGAGGGCCCACGGTTGATCAGGTAAGCTGCAGTGTTAATAGCTTCAGCCCATAGAAATTTGGGCAATCCGGCATGTATCCTCATGCTTCTGGTACGTTCATTCAGAGTTCTGTTCATGCGCTCTGCTACACCATTTTGCTGCGGTGTCATGGGAACTGTTGTCTCCATCTTGATCCCATTGTTTGCGCAAAATCTCTGAATCTCCTATTTCTGTACTCTCCTCCATTGTCAGACCTCAACCGCTTGACTTTCATACCATTCTCATTTTCCACCATGGCCTTCCATTTTCTGAAGGTATCAAGACTTCTGATTTTTTTCTTCAGAAAATAAACCCAAACTTCCTTGTAGAATCATCGATGAATGTGACATAATATAATGAGCCTGCAAGAGATGGAACTGGGGATGGTCCCCATACATCAGTATGAACCAATTCTAACCTTTCTGCCTTGGGTGTCTTGCCAATCTTTGCAAAATTGACTTTCTTTTATTTGTCAAAGATGCAATCCTCGCATAGTCCGACATCTACATTCTTTAGATCCGGCAGCTTCCCTTTTGACAGAAGTATCTTCATTCCTTCTCGCTCATATGGCCAAGCCTTTGGTGCCATATGTTTGATTTTCCAACATCTGCTACTGCAATATTCTCTAAATTTGAGGTTACAGAGAGTACCAGTCTTCTTACCACGAGCAATGACGAGTGCTCCTTTGGTAATCTTCCATTCACATTCTGAAAAGGTTGTACTGTATCCTTCTCCATCAAGCTGTCCTATAGAAATCAAATTTCTTTTGAGACCAAGAATATGTCTCACTCCTGTCAGCTTCCAGGTGGTCTGGTTTGGCAACTTTAGTCGGATGTCTCATTTCCGACGATCTTCAAGGTTTCATCATCAACAAGATGAACCTTCCCAAATTACCACTGATAGTTCTCCATGATTTCTTGGCATGGCGTGGAGTGGAAAGATGCCCCTGAATCCAAAATCCATGATTCAATCGGACTGTTGATGCTTAAAATCATAGCATCACCTGTCTCCTCCGTCATGTTGGCAGATTCCTGTGCGCCGATATTTTTCTTTGGTGCTTGGCATCTCTTTTGAAGTGACCTTCTTGCCGCAATATAACAAAAATCTTTATTTCCTGTTCTTGATTTTCCTTCTGGATTTTGATCTGCCACGATTTGAATTTCTTTCTGAAGTTCTCCCTCTGGACTCCGTGTGCAAGGCTGAGGAGGTTGATGCTTCACCCGATTCTCTCCGTCGAATTTCTTCGCTCAGTACCAGATCCCGAACATCGTCGAATTTTAATTTGTTGTTTCCCGACGAACTGCTGACTGATGTAACAGTAGCATTCCAACTGTCTGGTAAAGATGATAAGAGAATTAAAGCTCAAACTTCATCATCAAATTCAATTTCCACTGAACTCAACTGGGTTGTGATTGTGTTAAGTTCATTTAGGTGTTGTGCCACCGATGCCCCTTCCGTCATCCGCAAATTAAATAATCGCCTCATCAAATGAACTTTGTTTGAGGCCGATGACTTCTCATACATACTGGAGAGAGCCGTCATAAGACCCGCCGTGGTCTTTTCCTTTGCTATGTTGAAAGCAACATTGCGAGATAACGTCAGTCGGATAACTCCGAGGGCTTATCTGTCGAGAAGAGCCTAGTCTTCATTCTTCATGCCCTCTGGTTGTTTTCCTGAGAGGGGTTGATATAGATTTTCCTGGTATAGATAATCTTTAATTTGCATCTTCCAAAATCCAAAGTCCGCACCATCGAACTTTTCAATTTTCACCTTCCCTTCGTCTGCAGCCATCGCTCCCACTAGAATCTGGCTTCGTTTGGATCGTTTCTGATAATTTCTGCGAACCGCCGTGTATTAGAACACCTCCGTCGACAAACTCGTATCGCCGACCGAATTTCACTATTCACGAAATTTACTATTCACATGAATAGTAACTCGAATAGTAACCTCGTAAAAAATTGGCAGAATTCACAACCAAAAGCTCTGATACCAGTTGTTGGGAAATAAATCAAGTACAAGTAATTTCCCTATAGTCAGATTAGTGAGAATACGAAATAAAAACGGAAAAATAATATCCGAAATTGATAACGGAGTTCAGCCAATTGTGCTTACGTCTCCGGACTGCAGCAGATCTTTTACTAAGAGAGAAAATTTACAGGTGTTTACAAAACACTCACTACTCACAAGAAAGCTCTCTAGTATTGGGAGAAAGAAATGATTTTTGGGATGGTTTTGAAGCTAAATGAGCTAGGGTATTTATAGTTGAAACTTAAGGACTTAATATTGTAAATACCCTAAAGCCTAGGGATTAATTGTGATTATCCCATTATCATTTTTCAACAAACATCTACCAAACTTTGAAAAACTATTTTTCAAAGAAACATTTACCAAACTTTGAAAACCATTTTCAAAGAAACATTTACCAAACTTTGAAAACCATTTTTTCAAAGTTGTTTACCAAACTTGAAAACCATTTTAATAATTTCAACATGACGAACTCTTAACAATATAAATGGTTATAATTAAACAATTTGAGGTTTCATTAGAGATGCTCATTTCAGTCAGATTTGATAGGTCTTAACTTAACCTAATTAATCTAATTGGATTAGATTTTTATTTTGAGAATTTGAGTTTGGCTTAGATCAATTCATATTTAAGGTAAAAAAATTGATCCGTATATAACATTATAATGGTTTCTTATATATTTAGGGACAAATAATAATATATTTTTTATTAATCTAAAATACAAGCACGTGGATGACTAGCATTGCCGACAAGTATACTCCATCATAAAGTGATTAGTACATAACGATCATTATTCCATTATCATACTGTTATTTAAATACCTGATTCTATGTATTTTTTATCGGACAGGTGGGCAAGGAACTTTACTTTCAGGAAACTCCTTTTCCGAAGATGTGGCCCTGCGACATAATCACATGTAGCATACAAAGGAACTTTTTTCCCTTTGCACGTATCTGGTCCAGTTGGAGTTAGATAGTCGATTTAGATAGTCCCTGCGTGTAGCAGAATCACATATTATTAACAACAACAAAAATCTAGGGCTCCTCTTCACGACCAAAAGCAACTTGCTACACTTTCTCTGAATTTGTGGCTTAAAAAACCCCCTTTAACCTATCAACCAAAACGTTTTCCACGAGTCTGTTAACGACGGCCTCATCCTCAATTTCTTGATTAATTATTGATGTTAGAGGAATCTAAGGTGGCGTTTGGTTCGCATGAATCCCTTGGAATTAGGGGAATTAGAATCCAATTTCACCACTTTCTCATGTTTGGTTCAAGTTTTCCAAGGGAATTGGAATCCCTCATGGCTTCAACTTTCCATCAAATGAGGGAAAGTGAATTTTATTCATTCTATGATGGAATTCAATTCCCTTGTTGGAGGGAATTAAAATTTAATCATACTACTCTCATCAATCTTTTGGTAACTTATTCATATATTGAATAATATTTTTTATTATTTCGGGTTGGGTTGGGTTTCTAATTCATATATTTGGGTCGAGTCGGGTGAAACTTTATTTTGGTCGGGTCGAGTCGGTTTTTTTAAGTGTGATATTCGGGTCGGTCGAGTTCGGGTTTAGGGTGAAAAATAACTGACCCGAAAATATATATAATTTCACCTTATATATTTAGGGATAATTACAATAATACCCATCTATATATAATTTTTTCAATTAAGTCATTATTTTTATTGAATAAAAATATTTTTTTAATTATTTCGGGTCGGGTCGGATTTCTAATTCATATATTTGGGTCGGGTCGAGTTCGGGTTTAGGGTGAAAAATACCCGACCCGATTCGACCCAAAAATATATAATTTTACCTTATATATTTAGGAATAATTACAATAATCTCTATATATATATATATATATATATGTATTTTTAATTAAGTCACTGTTTTTTATTAAATAAAATATTTTTTTATTATTTCGGGTTGGGTCGGGTTTCTAATTCATATATTTGGGTCGGGTCGAGTCTCGGATGGAGGTTCCCTTGTTCTCGGGTCGGGTCGGGTGGACCAAAAACCCGACCCATGGCCATCCCTAATTGGGATGATTTTAACTTATGATGTTTATTAGCATATTTTTTATAATTTATTGAAATGAATAATCAATCAATAAAATTAAAATTTAATTTAATTTTTTTAAAATTTTTATAATATATTGATATATGTAATTTATAAAACAAACTAAAATTAAGAAAAAAAAGGACAATCTTGTCATTTTACATTACTGAAATCAAATTTATCTAACATGTCTGCAAACCAAACAGAATATGAAATTGGATTCCAATTCAATTTCCTGCCAACCAAACAGAATATGAAATTAAATTCCAATTCTTTTATATATTCTAATTCCCTTAGGAACATTCTAGTGAATCAAACGCCACCTAAACGTCTATTCACATTAATTATTTATAAAAACGATTATTCAAATACTTAATAATACGCGGGTCTATTTTTTAAAAAATTAATCTATATTATTTATAAATAGATTAATTTGTTTTCGTACTTTCTAATTATGACTCTTTAATTAACATTTTAAATATTAACATAACATGTTTTGAATGTTTATATAGTTTGTTACAAAATATATAAAAGATAAATTATTATGAAAAACCAGTAAGGTCAAACTCGGTTTTGACTCTTGAATATCGGAACCCAAACGTAAAAGGGCTTATTCTCGCTTTTTTTCTTAGTCATTTTTTCTTATTCGAGCTCTCATAAAACATCGAAATTTAAGCATGAAGCTGACGTCGAAACACTCGTATTTTCAGTTTAAATTTTTTAATTATTTTCTGGTTAATATTGGAGTAGAGGAAGTATTATTAAATGCTTTCTTATGTCTTTAAATTAAAGCTCCGTTTCTCATTCAAACTCACCCTACTAATCATTTTGTGACCAAGAAAACATAATCCCAGACAGAGAGAATAGGTGGCTAGGCATAGGCATGGGTGCCAAAACAGATTTCACGATGACGGTGAGCAAGGAGGAAACTGTGGCAGCAGGGTTACCATTGCAGGAACACTGGCTACCATTCTCTAACCTCGACTTGCTTCTTCCCTCCGTCGATGTGGGAGTCTTCTTTTTTTACGATAAACCAGAAACCTGCAGCACGAGCTTCCCTTCCATGGTCAGTGTCCTCAAGAAATCTTTGTCTCAGGCTCTCGTCTCCTACTACGCATTTGCGGGTGAGGTCGTGACCAACACCGTTGGTGAACCCGAACTCCTTTGCAATAATCGTGGGGTGGATTTCGTTGAAGCTTATGCAGATGTGGAGCTTCGAAACCTGGACCTGCACAACCCTGATGAAACCATTGAAGGCAAACTCGTACCTAAGAAGAAACATGGAGTGCTCTCGGTCCAGGTAAAACAAACTAATTCATAATCATCTTCACTCATTCAAATATTTGGAATATAAAGCATTGAAGGCAAACTCGTATCTATCATCATGTCATAGCATGATGAACAAAAAGGTGTAGCTTTAACTGTTAATCATATGTATGTTACAGGCAACAGAACTTAGATGCGGCGGAACAGTGGTGGCATGCACATTCGATCACCGTATAGCTGATGCATACTCAGCCAACATGTTTCTTGTATCATGGTCTGAAATGGCAAGATCCAAGTCAATGTCTTCAGTACCGTCTTTTCGCCGGTCTCTGATGAACCCGAGGTATCCAGGGCGCATCGACGTGTCTCTGGATCGAATGTATGTGCCCATATCCTCATTACCACCCCCGAAACGGCACCTTGATCAACCCACCCGTATAGCTGATGCATACTCAGCCAACATGTTTCTTGTATCATGGTCTGAAATGGCAAGATCCAAGTCAATGTCTTCAGTACGTCTTTTCGCCGGTCTCTGATGAACCCGAGGTATCCAGGGCGCATCGACGTGTCTCTGGATCGAATGTATGTGCCCATATCCTCATTACCACCCCCGAAACGGCACCTTGATCAACCCACTGATACTCTTATTAGTCGTATATATTATGTTGCTTCTGAGAAACTCAATGATCTCCAATCACTGGCTTGCTCCGATGGATACAAAAGAACCAAGCTGGAGTCCTTCAGTGCATTTTTATGGAAAATGGTAGCACTCCTTGCTGCCAAAGATGGTTTCAAGTTCACCAAGATGGGGATTGTTGTGGACGGAAGGGTTAGATTAGGTGAAGGAGATGAAGACAAAGCAAGTCTAATGAGTTCTTATTTCGGAAACGTTCTTTCCATTCCATTTGGGGGCCAAAGCGTAAATGATCTGATCGAAAAACCATTGTCATGGGTAGCTAATCAGGTTCATGATTTCCTGGACCAAGCAGTGACAAAGGAACATTTCCTGGGCCTGATTGACTGGGTCGAAGCTCACCGTCCCGAGCCAGCACTCGCTAAGATATACAGCAACGGAAGCGACGAAGGGCCGGCTTTCGTAGTGTCGTCGGGGCAGCGTTTCCCGGTTTCGAAAGTGGATTTCGGATGGGGACGTCCTGTTTTCGGTTCATACCATTTCCCTTGGGGAGGGGATTCAGGATATGTAATGCCGATGCCAAGTCCTGCTAGGGAAGGTGATTGGGTGGTGTACGTGCACCTTTTTAAAAGGCAACTGGAGCTGATAGAGGCGGAAGCTGGTAATGTGTTGAGGCCCCTCGCTTTCGATTACCTTCAAGTGGATTAACCTGCTCCTGCTATGGTTTCTTCGGTTTAAACGTTCTCGATTACTTGTAACAAAACCGTCCCATGTTCCCCCAACTTTGTATTCTCGGTCATGTTACCGAACAGTGTTTTAGAAATGTTGTGTTTGAAGCTGGACTTGCAGTCCTACAGCTTGCTGCTTTGGAATTTCTGTTGTGTTTTCGGTTTGTAAATGCTAATTAATAAATTTAGAATTTATGTCGTCACAACACTTATTTCAGTATATATTATCGAATCTTTAAATATGAATGCAAACATTTATTTATTCTATTGATCTCTCTCTTGTCTCAGTTTCCCTCCTGTTGGACGCTGGCTTGCAGCCGTCGATCACGCCCACCCGACCCGAGGTAGATCAATAATATCTATAAAAAATATATAAATAAAAGAAGAATATATTCATGCACGGTAGATACGTTAACACTTAACTATAATAGACAGGTGACCAAATAGTTAGTTTACCCTAAATAAAAAACATGTAATAATTACGTTAAAGAAAAAAAGTATTATATTCATATTGGTTTAGTTTATAAATTTTTTAGCTTCACCACTGCTTATAGGTTTCCACAAGTGTTTTGTGGAAACCGGAAGGAAAGAGGAGAGTAAAGGAGGAGGGGGGAGACATCAGACAAGAACAGAAGCAAGGTTTCAGCAACCAAATAAGACTCTAAAAGAATCTTAAGATACCAAGAGAGACCTTAAAGCAAGAGAAGGTGGGAAAATCTATAATCATTTTCAGTTATATTTAAATAAAATGTTTTGATGCTTATTTTTAAATTTCCCAATACCATTTTTTATTTGTTAAACAATGTGTCCTATTATAGTTCACCGATAAGGCACAAAAGTTATGTACTAAGATTACATCAAATATAATCTCAAAAGTACTTCTTTTTTCTGAATTTATGGATGATACCAAAATGTAAATCTCATATTTGTACCTAATTTAAAATAATCATCATAACTCATAAGTTTATTTTAAAATTAATAAATAATTGTAATTTTATATAAATACTTAAGTGTGTTACTTGAATTTTTGAAAAGAATTAATTAAATCTTTTTTTTTCATTCAATTAAGTGTTTGTACTTTGAAATTTCACCAATTCACTCCTTTAATTAAAATTAACACTTACCTTATGTTTTGTCTTCTTTTTGAGATTCAACATGATTAATCCCAATGAGGTTTAAAGCTACCTCAAGTTAGACTCCTAAACATGGACATCATTATTTTTATCCATAAGATATAAGCCAAAATTTTATTTTTAAATACTATTGTGTTGACTTCTCTGTATATTGTCCTAGCATCCATAGCCTTAATTCTTTATTATTCTAATATATATATATATATATATATATATATATTATATATATATATATGTGTGTGTGTGTGTGTGTGTGTGTGTGTGAGAGAGAAACATATTTGAAATTTCCCTTTTTTTCTTAATAAATATGAAGAATTAAAAGTTAACCTGTATATCAAGTGATTATGGTTTGGTTAATGTCGTTAATTATTATTAAAAGATAAATGGATTTGTCACATGTTCCATGTCACCGTACATTTACCTTGTTGCATTAGCATATATACAACATACCTGCTTTAATTTTTTTTCGTAATTAAATTGGAAACTTCAAGAAGTAAAGTGACAAAAATATTTACTTTTTTATTATAAATTGTACTGTTAATGATAAATTACTTCAATTAAATTAATATGAGATTAGGGGTTGTCATCTCCATAAAAAGTTAAAATTATCATAAATTTTAATTTTTTTCTATGTATTTTCTATTGAAAATATGTTTCTGTTCCCTAGAATTTTATAAATTCAAGTTCACCATCCTAAAATTTTATAAGTTCAAGTTCGTCCCCATATAAGATCCCGTATCTGCCTCTATTGGTAATAATAATAAATGTCAAATCCTATGATTTTGTAAAATGGGAAATGGTTTCGGTAGTTCAGCCATAACCTAATGACTTACTACTAGAGTTGGTTTTTGCAATAAATATATGAAATTAGAAGAAACATCTTCATCAAACCAACCAAACCCTATTTTTTGTCAAGCTTATTTCAGATGTGGAGTAGGAAATTGGAGAAGTAGATTGATTTCACTTAAATCGTTTAATAATTTTCAAATATTGTGACACAAGAAGATTAATTAAAGTCCATTGTGAGACGGAAAAAAATCAATATTCAATAAATTAAATATGTAATCATATAAAAATTTATATACAATAAATGATAATATGAAAAATGATATATTAAACAAGATTATGATTAAAAATAATATTAAGAATTAGAATATGTATATAAATAAGGAAGGTAGGAAGAAAGGGATGTTATTCATAGGATTTTGGTAATTGATTAAATCAAGCAAATGATGTGTTGCAAAGATTAATAAGTATAATGTATTTTTGGCAGGTGGTAATGATGAAGAATTCATCCAAATACACAATAGGGTTGCCCTGCAAGTTAGGACCAATCCTTATTTGCAACTGCAGATTATACTCGTAATTAATGATCTAGGTTATTATTGATCATGAGTAAATTACATAAATATAGTCTGAAAAAATGTGTAGGTATAGTACTAAATGTAGGTATTTATTCAAGCAGATATCGTGTGTGTGTTTTTATAAAGGGTTGGAATTTATATTCATTAAATTAATGATTTGTTTATGAGATTCGATAAATATTTATAAAAGTTAGGCGTGCGATCCGGATCGGTCTAGATTAGTGAAGGCGAAACCTTGGAATTGGAGGGCAACAAAAAATAACGCAAGCTAAACCAACCATTATTGGATGTATCAAAACATGATTTGCCTAAAAAAAAGTATTACGACTTTGCAATGGACGTTTTCAGTTTGATCCATTTACCCAAGGAAATTCCACTGTAATCAGATGTTATTTTATATACACGGATGAAGCCAGATCAAGAGGTTTAGTGATATTAATTAATCGCAGGGCCATTAACAATGATGATGTAGTGATCAGATTGTAATTACTTGACAAAGCTAAATTGAAGCAGTTAAGTCATGATCGAACAACTCTACCGCAATTAATAATCCAGTGTTTTTGTTGTTTATTAGCTATACGTACAGATCATCTTCATCAAACTACTGAACCCATTGGCCTTTTTTTTATTGAGTGGTGAAGGTAAACAACACTACATGATTTAAATATAGCATAAAAAATAAAATATAAAATAAAATAATATAAAAATAACATAAATACAATACCGATTATTTTATATGAATGATTAATATACAAATACACGTAAAATATTTCGGACACAAGTAGGACAAAGGATTCAACGGTTTGTAGGTGTAGGCTGGTTTTAAAGAGTTTGTGAGGATGGATGGATGCATGCGGGGGTAGAGGGTGGTTTTGGTAAATGAAGTGGTTAATTAGGGTTTTCTTTTTCAGACATATTAGTTGCTTACTTGAACCATCTTTTTAGAGGTGCAATCAGATGGGCAAGTGGGCGTGTGTTTTGGTGGGGTGGTAGCCAGTGTTAACGAAAATACCAGTTTGCAACTTCAAGCTACCAACTTCCTCTTCTCAATTAAACTTAATCGTATAAATTTATAATATTAATTAAGTGATAATAATTAGAAATGTATTAACATAACAATTCTTAATATTAATCTGAACAGATAATTAATTATAAAATATATTTTTATCCATTCAAAAGTTCCTTGAAAGACGTGTATAATATATAAATCTGAAATCCTACCTTACGTTGGTTTACTATCTTAGCAAAATTATCCTAATATCATAGACGAATTTCGATAAAATATATTTTTTATTTAAAGTTTTCATCCCGATCATAAATTCTAATAAAAAATTATATTTTATTAGAAATCACTAAGTCAACGAGACAACTTCAAATAAAAAAATATTATTTGAACAAATTCATCACTTTGACGTGACAAATTTACCCTGTACGGTAACATTTGTCGTAGATTGTAAAATAAATTTTAAACTGACTTATTGGGCCAATTAATTTTTTATATGGCCTAATGAGCCTAAAACCAAATTACAATTACATAAAAGCCCACAATATTATGAATAAGATCCAAAACTCGACTAAAACTGGATTAGTAATATATAAAAGTTAGGTCCATGAATTAACTCACCCAAGATCCAACATAGACTGGTTAAACAGTGCTTCAAGCTACTCAAATTACTCGAGCTCATCTCCGTCATTACCGGACTGAATCCGAGTAAGTTGATATTTTATCTAAGTTGTTATACTAACCTAGTTGGGTAAAGAAAATACAGCAGCCAAAGCATTTGCAGTAGTCATGAATTAAGGGGGGAAAATGTTCACCACACAAATATGTGTATCACTCTGGATGCATGAACACCAAAACTGCAAATGATCCTCATCTTTCTCAAGGATATTGCAAAAGATTCACTTTTTGGTGTGGATTCAACCTAATTTTGTAGCTTGCTGTGTGTATGGTTCGAAGTTCGAACTAACAAGCAAAGCGAAGATGGAAAAGCTAATATAGTCATCATTGGATCGGAATTTTACCAGGCAAGAATAAGTAACGGAAGCGTGAATCGAAGGGAAGAATGCCGCAGTTTCGGGAACCGAGAAGGCTTTGCCTCCGTTTTGATATGCACTGCTCCACAAAGGCAGCTTGATTTGGTGGCAGGTAAGGAGATATCCATACTGCCAAATTGGAATCATCCACAAAGCCCTTGGCAAAGCAGTGCAGTAATTTCGGAACTAATAGCTTTCCTTTGCTGCTAACCCCCACCGAAGCTCGTATAAAATCACATTGAGCTTCTTCAAGCTCCTCCCTAACATTATTTGCAGTGTAGATTCTCACCTGGCATTTTCACCTCACTTGTCAAAACACACAACCAAAACAATAGCGTGTGTGTGCGCGCGCGCGCATGCACGTGCATAAAGAGGAAACTTAAGATGGAGATTTACCGCAGGTGATGAGTACATCCCAGAACTAAGTGCAAAAGTTACAAGTGGTTCATACGCATCAATTGCAAACTTGCGTTGTTCATCCGACACCTTAAATTTGTGAAGGGCAAGAAGTAAAGCCTAACAAGAGGTTGTTAACATTTGTTGGTTAGTGAAGTACGAGAAGCAAGTAAAGAAAACATGCACGACGACATCACAGAAAAACCCATACAATTTGCGGTCTATGCAACGGTGGTTTCATCTTCAGGATGACATATTCAATTGCAGCTGCGCTGAAGGAGTAGCCACCAACGGCATATGCTGCCTGGAAAAGTAAAAACCTTCCATCAGAAATAAGTTAAAAAATCTTAAACTCAATTAAATTGATAATCATCTTGCATTTCTCCATTTTTAAGTCAGCCACTTGCGTAAATAATAAATACAGACGGATATAGAAATTAGCTGTAAATATATTCCATAAAAGCTCGGAAATTCTAGATGAAATGAGATCTCTAATAAGACCACTGAATCAGAGAACTGACATATATAAAGGGCTTAATCTTTATTCTTCCCTTTGGCTAGGATTGCTTCTTTTAGGAGAAAAACTCTTTCTTTAACCATGATTATGTCCGCTGCACTCTGTATATTATGGATGCTTAAGACAAATAATGGTACACAAAATAATTTACACACACAGAGTGCGGCTGCCAAAACACCTTAAAAATAGGAAAATAAGATGCAAATTGCTCATTCAACAATTGATACCTTTTGCATCAAGGAGAAGAGCTTCAAATCGCTTCTTGGAACTCCATATGCCAAGTAAGCCTGTTACAACACAGACAACACACATAAGAATACTGTCAAAACCCGAACTGGTCAGTTATGTAGAACTCCCAACTCTTGGGATCTAATCGTAAATATTCAACTTGTGAAAGCAATAAAGAAACCCACATGCATGATTAGAGCGTTATACAAGTTGATCCAGAAGGCAAGCTTCTCATTGCAACTTAGGCGAATAGGATTCACTTTTTCCAGTTGCTCCACAAGTGTTCTGTTCTCCAAACAATTAAAAGCAAAACAGTAATGAATCAGCTATAGTCCCATACAGTAGTTATACATGTAGAAATTTTACTTGAGTTCTAATCACTATACAAAATCCTACTAGGCTATTACTCTATTATTGTGAATCTGGTCCCACAAAAGTAAAATATACCCTCATTTGCTGGTGAGAAAAATTTAATACAAAATGTTTGATAAGTTTAACACCTGAACTTCCTTAAAGCCTCAGATGCATATTCCAGCTGCTGCTTCCCAACTGACATCCAGGATACTTCGGTTGATAAGCCATAGTTTCCAATTTCAGCCCAGCTTAACTTCCCTCGTACTCTATAGGGATCAAAGGAATTCTCTGAAGCCAAAACTTCAGAGTTGCTTTGGATATCAACTTGAGGGCTCTGCACCCAAGACAGAATCTTGGAACTTTCTGATGATGACCACCATGATGAATTTGATAGATGCCCCTGAGGTGATAGAGTTGAGCTGTTGCTTTTAGACACAGATGATTTGGAAGGAACAGTTGAATCTGCAAGAGATATGAATATATTTCTCATGCATCTAACCATCTCTTCTGATAGCCGGTTAGGATGCTCCCATAGGCCATTAGGTATTATCCCTCTTGAAATCTCCAAAAACGATAGACGTTGAAGAGATTTTTCATCTGTCTTTGAAGATATTTTCGCAGCATGTTGCAAAAGCATGTCCACTGCATTCTTCTGTGAATCATAATTATTAATGCTCAGTAAAAACCTTTGGCGGTTTTCAGTACTAACCATGTCTAGAAATAAATATTTCCATAGATATTACGCCTCATAATAGAGAGAGAATACAAAATAAGATGTGAAATAACCTTAAGCTTTAGAAGTAGGTGTGAAGCCAAATCTTCAAAACTCTATTCAAATTCAGTATATAGACAAAAAACATAAAAAAAAACAGCATAGAGATTGTATGTATACCAATAAGAAATATTGGAAAACGAAATTTGCAGCGAACATCATAATATCTAAAATGCAGGTTTCCAGCGTTCTCATCAATCCTGAACTCAGAATTTGATTATAAAATGTAGATAGACAAAATAGCATCGACTTTTTCAATTAAAGAATTTCTACTAATCTGCTCTAAAGATGGAACCAATATTTATCAAGTATGATACACTATAGCGACAATCATGAAGTTGAAAACTCTATTCAGAGGAGGCACAAAGGAAGCTAGACATTTACATCTCTTACAGACTCCGCAGAAGATGATTCACCAGTAGATTCTGACAGCTGGTATGTAGGCTCTTGGTATGAATTATCTTCTAATGAAAGATGCAATCCAAGATTTGAGTGCTGCAAACACATTGATGATGGTGAAATCTGGATAACAAAAGAAAATTTCATATTTACAGCCAAAGTACAAGTAAATATACATGCAATACTTTTGTGATGTCAACTTCATTTCATCTATTATTATATTTATATTTATTGTTAACCTTAATATTGACCATTATAGAACAGAATCTGTAGGAAAGTTACGATATTCAGCTTGTCTTCACAGCATTAGAGGAAGATTCTTAAAGGAAAATATGTTTATCATAGGAGCGTTGCTACTTCTCGGTGGGTACCTCCGCCAGAAGGTTTCATTAAACTTAATGTTGATGGGGCAATGGTTAAGGGATGGGACAAAGGAGGAATTGGCGGTCTGATTAGGGATGACAGAGGTTTGAAACTAGGAACTTTCTTTGAAAAAATTGGAGGAGGACCTCCTATTCTTGCAGAGTTGTTGGCGATCAAAAGAGGTTTAAGTCTCATTGAAGAGTTGAGATCTTTTCCAACTCAGAGGATTATCTTGGAATCAGACTCGACCACGGCCCTCAAGTGGATTAAAAATCCAGATTTATGTATCCCGTTGTTTCAGTCCTTGGTAAGAGGCATAGCTACTTATGTGGAAGGAAAGGGTATCATCTGAAGACATATTGTGAGAGCTGCTAACTGAGAAGCGGATGAGTTGGCAAAAGCTGGTATAGGATGATCTGTGGTTATGAGTTATAGTTATTAAGCTGGGGTGTTCATTGTGTTTTTTAAGGGGTTTGGTTTTTAGTGTTGTAGTTTGTGTTTAGGTTGTTAAGTCTTATGTTATAAGCAGACCATGGTTATAGATTGGTTGTATGTTATGTTCAAGAATAATATAATTCAGAGGCGCTCTTTTCCTCCTTCCTATGTCCTTCATGTTACTTATATAACATGTAGGATATGAAGGGGTTTTAATGAGGCCTATATTCTATAAAAAATAAATAAATTAATTTATGTGCTTATCTCTTGATTCATATCGGGTTTATTTTCCAGTGAGTTTCTTTGTTGTCCCAAGGATTTACTCCTGTCGATTTAGTACTATAAGATCAAAATCATCACAACTAACCACAACAAAGATTTTAACAGGCCTACAAACAATGTTACCAAACATTGCAGTTATAAAGAGGAGGTTTGATAAAAGAGGGAGATACATACTGATGGAGAAACCGAATGCCTCAATCGATATTCAGCAAGCCTCCGTTCACTTCTCTCTTGACTAAGTTGGAAATGCAAAGAGAGCATCTCTTGTTCAAGTTTTGAGATGGTACACTCTAATACGGCAATATGGGATAGAAGCTCCTGAGCCTGTAAGAGAATAGGAACAATGTAAACTTTATAACAGTCTACATTAAAGAAACCAGTTCACAATTTGACAGGTATGCCTCAATTGAATGTACAGACTACAGAGTTCATAAACAAATTGGTGAATTTAAAAAGTAGAAATTACAAAGAACCAGAAAGCAGTCTATATAAACTCCAGAGTCCAGATGGCTACTTAATATAAAACAATGAAATAATATTGGAGATATTCAAAGCATATTAGCAATTTCCATAAGACTGCAATGTTTTTAATACAAGGACTCAGAAAGCGAAGATCAAATATAACTGACATACATGGTGTGGAAGGCATGAAGGACTTGACAATTCGGAAGCATTTTTCTCTATAGCACTTTCCAGAACAGAATGCAGGTCCATCTCTTCTTGCAGCTTTTTTTGCAATTTATGTACCTGGCAAAATTTTCAGAAATAGTTACCAGAATTGAATATGCATTTATGGAACCATTGTAGCGACTAAAATAAACATATTTTCCCCAAGTATCAGCATATTATGATCAAAAGAAACCGAGTACATAAGACTCCTAGTAGAAGAAGGCCATCAAACACCAGAAATAAACCTTAGGGGCTCTGCGAGTAATTTTCCATGCTTGGTATTAAAGTTAGCATGGATTAGTTCATTTCCTATTAAAAATGGAAAAAATCATCAAAGACATAATCATAAACACAGCCGCACAACTTCTTCATTCCATCTTAAATGACTAGTCTAATACAGTGGATAAAAGGTTATTATAGTTAAGAGATGCTTACATCCTGCTCAAGCTGAAACCTATAAGGATAAAAATCACTGCTTTTAGAACACGATTCCGCGCTTCCAGTCTCTTCATTGTAACTCGTTTCCTGAATGAATCACCAAATTCAATGTGAATATCAAATATAAGCAGAACTACATTTTCCTAAATTTTAAACCAAATTCACTATGAATATCAAATCTAAATTAATAGAAACATTTAGAAAGAAAATGGTACTGCAGTAAAAGTCTTATTATAGCCCATGGAAAAGAACAAAGGAAAATTCTTAGGACTTTTAAAACGATCCAACCAACAAACAACATGAAAGGAACTGCTTGCCTGTCTCTTCTGCAATGGGCATAATATTTTATTTTCAACAAAACTTTAAACTCTAACAGTCAATATGCTAAAACCGTGAAAAATGACATGAAGGTTGTCTTCAACAGCATTCAGATAGCCAAAAAGAGGGAAAGTAACAAATTGTTATTATCCACAATGACTTAGTTCCAAGGACATTTCATGCAGTCTTAAGCAACAATCATTACAAGAGAAGAGCACCATCACTTACCTCTAACCATGAGATATTATCTTGAAGTTCACTAACAATATCTGGCCGACAATCATTTCTGCAGAAAAAGGCCACTCAAAGGAAAGAAAGAAAAAAAATCAGAATAAACTAACAAAATCCATTTTAAGCCAGTAAGAGAATAAGCAAGTAATCAAACAATGCAATCCTTACTTCCTTAAAGCAGATTGCACGAGAGAAGAGTCGCACATCTTGTAAACATGGGGTTTGGCTTTTACCAAATAAAGAAGACCCTGTAAGTCACAAAGTAGCTTAGCTTCTATATTACCCCCATATGCAAACAATCTTCATAAATTCTGCAGATCCAATTCAAACATCAAAACCCTGCCTTTTTTAATGATTCTAACTTTGGGTAACTTGAGTTAGATTTCGTCATCAATAATCTTTCGGTAGAATGAGTTGTTTTTTTTGGACAGAGTACAGTTTGACTTGTAAATAAGTAAGTGAAGACAAATGAAATCAATGAATGCTCAGCTACCAGTCATTTTCAACGCAACAATACAAATCTAATCAAATCACATATAACCAATACGTATAGAAGTGAAATTATTTTAGAAAGAGAATTTATAGAAAACAAAATATCTTCGGAACCACTAGAAAAAAATGAATTACTTTTCCACTTCATGAAAATAAGAGCGACTGCAAAAGTTGTGGAAATTATGAGAATATAATTAACAAAAAGGAACATAAAAATGAGTAGATGCAAAGAATATGCAATTACAAGAAGCAAAAAGAAGAAAGTGGGGTTATACCACTGCATATTATGGAACACATAAAAAACTCCCTCGGTGGCAATAAAAAAACAAAGGGGGAAACTTGACATACCCTTCAATAGTTTATCAAAGTTGATTTAAAAGCAGAGAAGTTGGTTGTTTTTCTGTTTCATTCGTACCCATTGAAAATGAAGAAGAAAAAGTCTGATAGTAAATGTGGATTGATTGATGGAATTAAAAGTAAGACCAAAGTTGAGATTTCAAAAGTAGTAGGGCAGACAGTGAATCAAATAAAGAAAACGCAAACAAAGAGTCTTTCAGTTTCCACTGGGTAAAGATTCTAAGCCACAATAAAATGATGGAACCAATTGAGTTAAAGAAAATTAAAATGTAAAAAGAACAATCCAAGGGACAGATCCTAATGGTCCCCTTGTGTCCTTCAAATACTATTTTTCTTAATTTTTTTTATACCGATACAACTTACAGGCTGACTCCATTAACCGTAACGAGTTCTCTTTCACTAAATCTATATTTCTAAACCTCAAAATAAAAACTGATAAAAGAAAACAACAACCTAATTTCATACTTCCAACTAGGAAAGGAGAAAAAGAAGAATAAATTGATCCTAAAGAGTAACAACAGAAAAGCCCATTTTCAGTGAAAACAAAAAGAAGAGACCTTTGACAGAGAAAACGTGAAAGATTCCAGCTTTCTTGATACTTGAACAGAAAAAAAATAACACCCAAATCCAACTTGAAACTGGTTATCGGCTTCTTCTTCTTCTTCTTCAGCACCGTTTCTCAGACAAAAAGAAAATGTATTTGTTTGTCGACTGGGTACTTATGCTCTCTCAATTTTAACCTGAAATTGAAATGGTGGGAAAAGTGGGGTGGACAAAAGAAATGACAAAGATACACGGGCTGAACTAACCCAAAGACTTGGTGAGAGAGATTTCAAACAGAGAAAAACACGAATCTAGAACAGCTTCCAAAACATATCATGTTGAAAATATTAGTATATATTATTTGTTTTTTACCAACTCCAGATAATTTTGCAATAAATTTAAAATGGGTATGTTTTGTGTCGTGTCCGCTTGTGGGCGGAAGATAGTGATTACTGATGTAGCTGCTTTTGTTGTGGCTGTGGAAAATGAGTTTTCGTTTCTTATTAAAAAAAACCATATCTTTAGAATCTGTCTTTTGAAATCTGAAAATTTCGAGGTATACTCCATTCCATTTGTAATAGATTTCGACTTCTTTTTAGGGTTATGAATTTATGATTGTGATTATGCTGTCTTTCTCATTTTATTATTGTTATTAATTGGGTTCTTTTAAAGTTTATGTTTTTTCTTGGTTACGAGCATAAGTTTTTATGCTCCCATAATGCCTCCGGTCCAATGAATTTTAATATATTATGCGAGATAATAATTTTATGTTCCTATACTTGTACCGTATAATAGATAAAATATAAATAATTTTTTTAAAACAAAAATGTAATAGAAATTATAGTTAAACAATATTAATATTAATACAAACCAAAACCTATAATACTACAAATGTCACCTAAAACAATGTCTTCATGTATTTTTTGAAACAAAAACCTCTATTATTTTACGATAATCAAGACTTTATAAAAATACTAGGTGAAGTTTTATTAACTATGAATGTAACATTACATGACAACTTTTGACAATATTGTGTTTTTTAAATCAGAAGCATTTTAAGAGCCAACGAATTAATACTATGTGAAGTTTTATTAACTATGAATGTAACATTATATGACAACTTTTTGACAATTATTCATTGGCCATGTTCATGGTATAAATATAACACTTCCACAAAATTTATAGAGAATTTTAAATTGCAATATATGACTTAAATGTAGAATATATATATATATATATACTTTTAAGATTATATTTAGAGGATTGTACATTCATACTTCCGTACACATCTTAGTATTATCAAATCCAAGTAGTGTTAGTTACAGATATAATAACAATGATGATAAGAGCTAATGCAAGAAGAAAAAAAACTAAAATAGATTTAAGTTCTTGAATTAAACCCATGAGACCGTAAGATGATTGTATCATTACATGGTTCACAAAGTTTACAAGAGCTTCTAACTTCTTCATTGCTATAACCATTTGAGGAAGGTAAGTACCTTGACCCATTAAACTGATGCCCACCAGCATTAAACTAATGACATGCCCCTACATGTTATTCTGGGTCGTCACTCATTTGACACATGTATTGGGCCAGTCCTACCTCCAAGATTCTAAATTTGACAGTGACTAAAACATATAACATGAAAATATAATTTAAATTGAATGATTTTCATATACGTGAAAATATACTTAAATAAAATAATAAGAGGTTGCAAATACGTGACATATTTAATCTTATATTGCTAAAGCAATAATAATAGTATTTTGTATCTTTGTTTAGCCCCCTCTCTTTTTTCTCTCTCAACTTATTTTCTTTTAATATTTTCGTGTCGTCTTTTTTTTTCTTTAATTTTTGTTTAGCCGTCGATGATATTATTTTTAATGTTGGTTGTCGATCGTTGGGAATATTAATTCCTTTATTTTTTTTTATTATGTCTTTATATTTTTTCTTGAGTTTTTTTTTAATTTTGAATAAGCATATCTGTCATTGTAACATAATTTTCCTCTGCTCTTGTGGCACGATTCTCATATTTTTCAGTACGTTTTTTTCGCATACATTTGCGGTTGTTTTGGTTCTCGCACAAAAATCATCACTACATTTATTTTCTGATTGGTTAGTCAATGGTCATTTATAGTCAGATCCCCTCTTTTAGTAAAAGATTGTTTGCCAACGTAATCATAATTGTGTAGCAAAATAGCCTGCCAAATTATTTAGTTCGCTCTCCACTCTTTTTTTACTTCGTCAAGCGTCTCATTCGACAAAGACAAGAAGTTTATATAAAGGTTATTGAGTTTTGATATTGGCCGTCATTGTAAATGGAAGGTTTTAATTTTCTTCGTATTTTTTGGTTTATTATTTACTTATGTTTGAGTATTTTGATAATTATTGTCTCCAAATTTATTTCTTTTTCATGATGGAATGTAATATTGATTCCTTTTATTATTAATAAAATACAGTTGACGTTGTTTCCAAAAAAAAACAATATTAATAGTTATAAAAGAGCTAATATTGTAAAATATTTTTATTTAAACATATTTGAAAATGTTGAAGTTTTATTATATAATTTTAAAACGTTTAATCTTGATTTACTCAACCATTTATACATTCAACTAAGGTGAAAATACTGGAAGAAGATATATGAAGCATAGCTGATTCATTAACAAAATCCGGTTCTTTCTTTTTCCAAATGCCATACATACAATTGAAGCAAATCTAAATTCAAGGTCTTTCACACTGCATTAATGGATATACAAAAGCTGGGGTGATATATAACCTGATGCAATACAAGGAAATCATGAGTTGAATCGAGTGAAGCTGTTATAGCACAGGATTCTTCACCACAGCCTCATCTGTGGCCAACTCTGGCTTGTCCTCAATGCGGAACCTTTTCGGACTTGGTTTGGGTTTAACATCATCGACACCGTTAGCATTTTGGGAAGGTATTAGATTCTGAATGTTGGGAAGGTGAGACAATAGCAGATGGAGAAGAAGGTTGCTGCAACTCCGAGTTTTGGCTCGGATCAGCCGGGGTCGACAAGCCTAGTGAAGGAACTAAGGCACTGCCGGCCTTCAGTTGTTCTTCCAAAATCTTCTGCAAATACCTCGCGTGTTACTCGATGCGTAACTGAAGCGACCTTTGTAGCTATGTAATTGAAAAGAGCATACATGAACGAAGACAACCAATCATTAAATGATTTCACTATGAACATGATAAATACCTAAAGCTGTTCATGTAATTGTTTCTGTACTTCCATTTGCATTTGCAGAGCTTCAGAGATAAGAGTGCCCCTAGAACTGAAAAGGAGAGGAAACATTTTACCTGGTGTTTTTACAAGTAAATCAGGAAGTCGAAACAACACATTAGAGAAAATAGAACAACAATTTACCCAATATTTTTCTTTCCATCACTTATACTTGAAGCTTCTTTCTTTTCTTCAGAGCTGGAAGTCTTCTTCTCTGAGAATCTCCCGGGGCACAAGCATGTCAAAGGCTTTGTGGAACATGTTTATTACAAAGAAACCGAACAACGGAATCACAAGGACAAGTAATGAATCAATTACCTTCTTTCTTCTCGGGCATATATTTGGCAAGTCGATATTTCTGTAACGGTAAAACATAGATAATAAGATGTAGGGAGAATATTAGTAGTAGCTAACGAAGATTATATGCTTCATTCATATTATAGAATTGTTCAAGTACCTGTAAGTGGCTCTTCACATGGTAGATAGTCAAACCTTCAACATTCTTAAGCTTTAGTACACCCTTTGGAGTTGCATCTGCATCATGTATAACGTAATCAGCATTTCCTCCTGCTTTCTTTGGACATGTTTACTTTGAGAATAAATTGCATAACCTACTTACTTTCGGGTCCATCGAGCTTTCTCACAGCCTGTAGAAAACACTCGTGCAGCTTGGGAGTCCATCTCATTCTCGGCTTGTGAACAGCTGCTGGACCAGACGGAGCATCGATAGATGGTGTTGCAGAAGCAGAATTTTGGTTGCATGTTAACCCTACAGTTTTGTTTGATGAAGGCTGAGGTGTTTCATATATTTCCATGACGAACATCAGTATTTAAATCAAGAAACGGAGAGAATAAAGAGTAAACTGGCCCCTCTTTATATTTTGCTCTTCTCCTGTTTCCAGTCTCAGATCATCGTAATTACTATCAACAATTTGATATTATCAAGATGTAGCTTATTTACCTCAACTCTGGCATTTTCTCCATGGTCACTGATAGCTATGTCGAGTTCATCGGATAAGAAATGCAGCTCTACTTGTTCCGTGAGGGTGAAGTCATCATTTTCACAATGCATATCATGAAAGGAACCGTCACAAGCATCCCCAGGAATATTAAGGAAGTCCATAATAACTTGAGTGTTCCTCATTATATGGATTGTTCAAATCCTCACTAAAAATCGGGGGAGATTTTGATGAATCGACCGAAGAAATGAACTGGAGGCACGTGGGAGGATGTGGAAGAAAAGGAAAACTTCCAAGCTGTAGCCGGGTTTCCGACGTAGATGAAGCTGACAAATATAAACTGGTACAGAACTCAGAAAAACGTGCAAATCCACTCTTAGTAACAGAAATTTTATATCTTGGGCTACTCGAACCAGAGTTAAGATTATGAATTGGGGATACTGCAATAGTATATAGCTCACCAATTCCCTTGATTGGCTCACTTTGAGTAACAGATACGAAGCCAGGGTGATTCTTGGTATTGGATGATATCCCAACCTTCATCTTGTTCCTTGATGGACAGATACTGGAATATTGTCGAAATGTAGGTGTCAATATTGAGAATCACAGATCTTCAATAGCAGTGCAGTGATCTAAACTCAAGGCTATTTCAAGACTAAGCTCATACAAAGTTAAATGTACAACCAGAAGAGTTAGATAAAGGGCATGTCTATGAAAGGACTGCACTTTGTCATCACCGACATTGCATTCTTCAGATGATTATTTCTTCAAACCAAAATCTGTTGCAGTGATCATTTTGAAGAGGAAAGATTATAAGTATCAAATCAAACCGCTAGCATGACCAGATAATTACTAAAGAACATTACACAAATGAAATCTAGAATAACCAGATAATTATTGAAGAACACGAGTGAAACCCTGAGCAGTAAAGGCACTAGGTATCTTGCTATAGGCTGGCTTTCTTGCCACAACAGGGAAAGCTCCGAAGCACTAAAATGCATGAATGATGCATGTAGTTGTTTTTCGTTTGATAGCAACATAAGATTAACTAACCAGTAACCATTACAAGCATCTTAAGCAAAAA